GGGTGCTGAACTCAGAGTGGAGGCCGCCTATGTGTGTGCTTTGCTGGGCTAAGTGTAGGCAGCCTATGTGTGGGTCTGCTTTGCTGGGGGTCAGCGAAGGCCGCCTATGGGTGACCTTTGCTGGGCTAAGTGTAGGCCGCCTGTGTGTGTGTGCTTTGCTGGGCTAAGTGTGTGACTGTCGGGGGGGTGCTGAACTCACAGTGTAGGCCGCCTGTGTGTGTGTGTGTGTGTGTGTTTTGCTGGGCTAAGTGTGGGACTGTCGGGGGGGTGCTGTCGTCAGAGTGTGGGCCGCCTGTGTGTGTGCTTTGCTGGGCTAAGTGTGTGACTGTCGGGGGGGTGCTGAACTCACAGTGTGGGCCGCCTGTGTGTGTGCTTTGCTGGGCCAAGTGTGTGACTGTCGGGGGGGTGCTGAACTCACAGTGTGGGCCGCCTGTGTGTGTGCTTTGCTGGGCCAAGTGTGTGACTGTCGGGGGGGTGCTGAACTCACAGTGTGGGCCGCCTGTGTGTGTGTGCTTTGCTGGGGTAATGGTGTGACTGTCTGGGGGTGGGAGGGGTGCTGTCCTCAGACTGTAGGCCGCCTGTGTGTGTGTGCGTTGCTGGGCTAAGTGTGTGACTGTCTGGGGGTGGGAGGGGTGCTGTCCACAGAGTGTAGGCCGCCTATGTGTGTGCTTTGCTGGGCTAAGTGTAGGCAGCCTATGTGTGTTTGTGCATTGCTGGGGGTAAGTGTAGGTAGCCTATGTGTGTGCTTTAATGGCCTAAGTGTGTGACTGTCTGGGGGGGTGGGAGGGGTGCTGTCCTCAGACTGTAGGCCGCCTGTGTGTGTGTGCGTTGCTGGGCTAAGTGTGTGACTGTCTGGGGGTGGGAGGGGTGCTGAACTCAGACTGTAGGCCGCCTGTGTGTGTGTGCGTTGCTGGGCTAAGTGTGTGACTGTCTGGGGGTGGGAGGGGTGCTGTCCACAGAGTGTAGGCCGCCTATGTGTGTGTGCTTTGCTGGGGTGAGTGTGTGACTGTCTGGGGGTGGGAGGGGTGCTGTCGTCAGAGTGGAGGCCGCCTGTGTGTGTGTGCTTTGCTGGGGTAATGGTGTGACTGTCGGGGGGGTGCTGAACTCAGAGTGGAGGCCGCCTGTGTGTGTGTGCTTTGCTGGGGTGAGTGTGTGACTGTCTGGGGGTGGGAGGGGTGCTGTCCACAGAGTGTAGGCCGCCTATGTGTGTGTGCTTTGCTGGGCTAAGTGTGTGACTGTCTGGGGGTGGGAGGGGTGCTGTCCACAGAGTGTAGGCCGCCTATGTGTGTGCTTTGCTGGGCTAAGTGTAGGCAGCCTATGTGTGTTTGTGTATTGCTGGGGGTAAGTGTAGGTAGCCTATGTGTGTGCTTTAATGGCCTAAGTGTGTGACTGTCTGGGGGTGGGAGGGGTGCTGAACTCAGAGTGGAGGCCGCCTGTGTGTGTGTGCTTTGCTGGGGTGAGTGTGTGACTGTCTGGGGGTGGGAGGGGTGCTGAACTCAGAGTGGAGGCCGCCTGTGTGTGTGTGCGTTGCTGGGCTAAGTGTGTGACTGTCTGGGGGTGGGAGGGGTGCTGTCCACAGAGTGTAGGCCGCCTATGTGTGTGCTTTAATGGGCTGAGTGTGTGACTGTCTGGGGGTGGGAGGGGTGCTGAACTCAGAGTGGAGGCCGCCTGTGTGTGTGCTTTGCTGGGGTGAGTGTGTGACTGTCTGGGGGTGGGAGGGGTGCTGTCGTCAGAGTGGAGGCCGCCTGTGTGTGTGTGCTTTGCTGGGGTAATGGTGTGACTGTCGGGGGGGGGTGCTGTCATCTCAGTGTAGGCCGCCTATGTGTGTGCTTTGCTGGGGTGAGTGTGTGACTGTCTGGGGGTGGGAGGGGTGCTGTCGTCAGAGTGGAGGCCGCCTGTGTGTGTGTGCTTTGCTGGGGTAATGGTGTGACTGTCGGGGGGGTGCTGAACTCAGAGTGGAGGCCGCCTGTGTGTGTGCTTTGCTGGGGTGAGTGTGTGACTGTCTGGGGGTGGGAGGGGTGCTGTCGTCAGAGTGGAGGCCGCCTGTGTGTGTGTGTGCTTTGCTGGGGTAATGGAGTGACTGTCGGGGGGGGTGCTGTCATCTCAGTGTAGGCCGCCTATGTGTGTGCTTTAATGGCCTAAGTGTGTGACTGTCTGGGGGTGGGAGGGGTGCTGAACTCAGAGTGGAGGCCGCCTGTGTGTGTGTGCTTTGCTGGGGTGAGTGTGTGACTGTCTGGGGGTGGGAGGGGTGCTGAACTCAGAGTGGAGGCCGCCTGTGTGTGTGTGCTTTGCTGGGCTAAGTGTAGGCAGCCTATGTGTGTTTGTGTATTGCTGGGGGTAAGTGTAGGCAGCCTATGTGTGGGTCTGCTTTGCTGGGGGTCAGCGAAGGCCGCCTATGGGTGACCTTTGCTGGGCTAAGTGTAGGTCGCCTATGTGTGTGTGTCTGCATTGCTGGGCTAAGTGTGTGACTGTCGGGGGGTGTGGGAGGGTGCTGTCCACA